GTGACGTAACAATGGCGATATTCATGCTTATTCGTGGTACATACGTAATGTAGTTCATAAGAAAATGAATATAAAATAAGAGCTGAGCAAATACGGACTTCTTAAACATCCGAGGTGGGATCAGGTGCTGTTGGGGAGTGAGCATCCTCTGTCGTCTGGTCACATCCGCCATGTGCTCCTTGTCGTGATCGGAAAATCCGTCTCCAATTCAGTGTGTAAATAATGGCCTTACAATTATTATAAAAACGTAAGTCATCATTTGACTCAATGATAAATTGTATTTCCTTACAAGGTCATTGTATTGACCATAGAACTTACGAACTGATGACTTTTAACGAGAATACCGATACTCTTGTTTCATCAAATTGATTCTCAATAATTTACCTCGTTTTAGAAATTGTACATACGACTTCTAGAGCATGCTCTTGTGTACTGAATCAACTAAGCGATATAAACCCCGTATGTAGGTGATAAAGTAAGTAAGGAAAGTTGACGATTGAAAAGTTCAAGTCATCATGTTTATCATAGAGCTTGGTTGTTAGATTTTATAGATTGCCATTAACACCTTTTTCAATTAAAATATTCCAATATGAAGCAGATGTGTCTGATTCTGTGTGTATCTTTTCTCTCAAGCTCTCCAGGATATATCATATCGCCATAAGAATGGGAAAAAATTGTTAAGGAGGCTGGGGGTCAACAAATTAACCACCAGATATAACTTATTTTTTTTAGATATGATATCTTTTGTTGTCAACTATCAAAGAAAAATTTCATACACTTAAGTTTTAAAATTTGGTCATTTTTGTATATTTTTATATGGAGCTCTTCTTCTAAAGGAAATCAAAATAAACTTTTAAAATGGCAACAACCACCCACCCCCTTTAGTTGACAAAACGCTGTTGATCTATCTAAATGTCGAGTTGAAGATCACAGCAAGTGTTTCCTTCTTTTCACCTATAAGATTTTGGACAAATTCTTCTTCATATGAAAACAAAAATAGGTCTGCTAATAACGGGTGCAGTTGGTACTCATGGGAATTCCAATAGACTCTTGGAAAACCTGGCCCCAAGACCATAAACTGAGAACAGACTTAAGTCAAAATTTCAAATCTTATATTGTATATATTATAAATCACAACTTATATTTTTTCCGTATATATTATAAATCAAATTTGTCAACTATTATAAATGTAAGGCAAAATCAAATACTTTTGATTAAACAGAAATTGAGATTCTTATTCTCAGTTTTATGGTCTTGTTTTATGGTCTTGGGGCCTGGTCTCCAAAAACCACTAAAACACTACATACATGTTTAAAGAAAAACCCAAAGATTTATTGTCATAATTAAAAGTCTGTACAAAAACCAAATTTTTCAAAAGTAATTTTTAAATATCCACTTCTGATGTACACCACTTATCGAATATACTGTTGCACAGAACTTTTGAAGTATCATACAACCGTTAATATCTTAGTGATACATCTTAGTGAGGAGTAAAGAAAGAGGCTTGGTTAAATATCTACTAAAACTTACTACGAATCTTTGTTTCTAAGAATTTTTATGAAGTTTAGGAATTCAACATAGATATGGTATTTCGAATGATTTTTTTGTTGCTTGAAATATTAAAAATATTCAAAACTGACATACAAACGTACAAATTCTGAGATGATATACTGTATCTAATCTATTCAATTGATGGTGCTTTGTGGACTTCTTTATTAAGTTACATAGCCTTGACTGACAGAAGACAAATTTAATCCTTAAAAAAAACAGGATACCAGAAAAACCATGGATTATTTCTAAGGTGGTCGTTTCTGTGAGCATACTGTTTAGAATATGCATTTTGTCCATAGTGTAATTGATAAGAAAAAATACATCGTTGAGAAAAAAATGTACATGTCTCTTTACAAGTTGTTCCATTGTTTGATAATATCAATTATCTCGCAATGCAATAAAAACGACGTCACTAATTAAGGAAGTATTGACAAGAGCAATTGACATTTTGGCTCGAAAATAATTTGTAATTGGTATCCATATTTGATATATGAAAAAGATCAGCTGAAGATTATTATAGTTAAGGTTATACGTAACGCACATAGCATTTTACTTTACAATGTACTTTTCCAACTGACAGTTTTCTTAATTTAAAATCAAAGTATCAGATGTTCTTCCTCTAAAACTCAAACTCAGCTTCCATGCAAGTGTTTTGTACAGACTTCCAATTATGATAAATCTTTGGATTTTTTTTCTTTAAACACGGATATAGTGTTTTAGCTTTAATAAAAATAGAATGATCAGGTAAATTAAAATGTTTGTATATAAGCTGCTGACCCCCATGTTGGAAATACAATTATAGGCTAGGAGATAAATTAAACATTATTTAATACATGTATCTTGTCCTGCGTGTAATTGGTAAGAAAACATACTTTGTTGAGAAATATACATGCCTATATACAAGTAATTCCATTGTTTGATAATGTCGATTATATCGTAATGTTATAAAAAAATAATAGAGGTACTGTGAGCAATGAGCTCACTAAATGATACCCCCGCCTCCCATATGAATATAATGGGAGTGTCCATGTTTTGTTGTGGGAAACCCAAAACATGTGTCAGATCAAAAAGTAAAAAAGAAGGTGCACAATGGCATTATGTAATAATGATTCTGTGAAAGTTTCATCAAATTTCAGTCAGTGGTATGAGAGGAGTAACTGTTGTGGATAAGAGATGGGTACCCCAAAGCGTAACAGACGGACGGACGGACATAACGATAACTATATACCCTCCCGCTTTTCAAGCGGGGGTATAAAAACAGCGTTGCTAATCAAAGAAGTATTGACATCTGGGCTCGAAAATAATTGGTATTTATATATTTAAGGTTACAATAGGTTAGGGTTGTATGTAACTTTCATAAATATTTCTACTTTATATATGATGTACCTTTCCAACTCATAGTTTTCTTCATTTAAAACCAAAGTTACTGATGCTCTACGACTAAAATTCAAAGCTTGTGCATTTAAAGATTTTTTTGTTTTTTTGTTCAACATGTATTCAGAGTTTTCTTTTCATTGTGGAGATATGCTAAATGGAAATATTTAGGGGCCACCCCTCCTAGTCCTTAATGGGACCGTTTTACAAAAATAGAAAGGGCGCATATTGATTAGAACATTCTCTGACCATCTATTGTTTTTGTTTTTAAACACAGATATAGTCTTTTAGCTGTTATGTCCTCAGATTTTGCACAGGATGTGTATAGATTTGCCAGGCATAATAATATAGTTAGAAACTAATTATGCTCCTTTATAAGCCGACCTGTTTATATATTCTTTTGTTCCCCAGTAATGTTACTGAAAATGCAAAACTTGTTATTTTTGAGGTTGATAGCTGATTCACAAATTAAGTTTAGGTTAAAAAGAAACCTAGAGGAGGGGTACATCATATTGCCAGGCATAATAAAATAGCACAATTATCTTTCAAAAATTAGATTCGTAAGTATACAGGAAATAAGAAACTATTCAAACTTACATCTGTATGTCCTTAAAACGTTTTTCTTCAAAAGAGCATAGTTACTAAAATGCATTGTAATTTAATCGCCTAGTAATTATTCGTAGTTTCACTTCGAGATCTGCCGAGATCTTTCGCCACAGATTGCTTTCGCAGAACCTCGACTGATTCTGATACCTTCTTCCAACAAGAAAGGGGAAAAGAATAAACATCAATTGTAAAGCCTGCAAGCAATAACGTTTTTAGTTATTGATATAAAAAATAGCATGTTTATATATAGAATTAATTACTCCCAATTTCGTTATTCGTTTTGTCCTATTTTTTTTACGATTGGAAATCTTGAAATATTGTTAATTGTTAAGGTCAAGATCTAGTAAATGAAAGGTGCCTACAGATTTAACAATTTGAAGAAATGAATTCCTTTTATGATGCTTAATAACTTTAGCTTGGTCAAATAAGGTGTTTCGGGGCATAATTAAGTTGTATGTAAACAAGATGAAAATCCTTTTTTTTTTAATTGTCATTTCCAATGAGAAATAAAGAATTGCAGTCATGAATATCGCAGTTTTTTTCATAACAGACAAAGAAAATACAGTGGCGGATCCAGAGGGGGGTTACGGGGGTTGCAACCCCCTTTTTTTGCAGAAAAGAAATAGAAAAAAGAATCCCATATTTTTGTTGTGTTTTTACTTTAGAAAATGATCAGTGGAAGACTAATGTTGTAATATATAAAGAAAATCGGTTTGCAAAAACTAAATGAAAGCCATCCCCTTTATACAAAATAGGATTTTCAGGTTCGGAGATTTATTTTCTTAACTTTTTCAAAAACTTTCAGGTAATCAATTCAAGTACTTTTTCCCAGGTTGATCATGATCCCACTTTTAAAAACCATACTCAGTACTTCACCATGCGTCCTGAGTTATTTAACTACATGTATGTGTAAAACGTACGTTATAACAACTTTTTCTCTCCCCCCCCCCCTTTGAAGAATTTTTCACCCCCTTATAAAATTTCTAGATCCGCGCCTGAAATATATCCATATTGCCTACAATGTTTCAGAAAACGGTAATTTGTCAAAATTTAATATAGGTATCGGGGCTACTTTTCATATGACTTTTAATTGAATTCCATGAAAATACTTTATTTTCTACATAATTCTACAAGAACCGTAAAGTACGGGGAAAATAAAGTTGAACGTGATTTGGACGTCATAATGGATCGAGCACCAAAAAGTTAGTCTAAAGACATTCACTAGATCTTGACTTTAAGTCGTACAAAAATTAGATCATCAGAAAATTATCTCCCTTGCTTTGAACAGCATTTCAACCGATGAAATGATTGAAAATTTCTCATCAAGCAATTTCTACCAATCACAAAAGAGAGGAAGTGCATAGTCCGGAGACTGTAAAAAAAAAAAACTTGGCGTGAGCAGCCATTTCCCTGATATACATCCAATTTCTATCAATTTAAAGAATAGGTCAAAAATATTTGAAAACTAGTTTTGGCCTGAATAAGTTGGTCATTTATTTGAATAGTATTGAATAACATGGATCTGTCCGTTCATCTCCCCCAACCACAGTTGTCCATCCTCATCCAAGGCTAAAGCACACGGACAGGTCACTCCATTCTCCTCGGAAACCAAAAAACACAGAAACTGACCATGTCTATCCAACATATGCACAGCATTGTTATCACAATCACAAATCAAAATATTATCATATTTATCACACACAATGTCTGTCGGGGTAAAAACTTCACAGTGAACAACTTTTTTAATTTTACCGTTGTACTTGAACCGGTATCGTCCGTAAATGTCAAGAGAAATAATGCACTTTGTGGCCCAGTCCAAGACTATGACGTCACCATGACTATTGACGGCTATTTTGTCGGGGTCTGAATACAAAGGTACGTTGGCGCGGTCTTTATACAACTCTCGTAGAATCTCGCCAGATGAATTCATTTTTATGACTTTTGCCATATTTTCTTTATGTAAACTCACATACAAATCGTTTTCCTTTGAGATAAACAAACCTCTCGTCACAAATGGGTGAAGTTTGGTAAAATTAATCGTTTCTGTTGACTGCACGTTAAGAAATTTAACATCATTACCCATATCTGGTGCTACTAGTAAATGTCCGTTCTCCGTTAATTTCATGTCGTCAACATAAAATGACGTTGATATTCGTTTTATTTCCCTCCCATGTTTCTGATATTGTGCAACCACGGCATCACTGTTACAAGCCACCCAAGCGACGTTATTAGAAGTTGGACATATTGCCGAGATCACACTGTTCAACTTGTGTTCAAAAGTTGAAATATGGCGGATGAATATTGGCGGCAACTGGCTGGATTCTTCTTCGTCAAAGTTGAAATGTAGATCTGAAAGGTCTATCGTTGCTCTCATGTTCAGTGTTGTCTGTTCAAGTCAAAAACTGCTTCCACATCGGAAAAAAAGGTATGTGAAGGGTCTTTATCTTTTTGACTGGTAACCCAATGATGTTGCTAAGCCTGGGATCCGATTACTATACTTGAAAAAACACTTGAAAACGATGACTTGAAGGCGGAGACGGATCATAAAGCTATAAAAAGATCACGGTAATTTGTAGTTTGTCAATATCTCTTCCTATAAACACATCAGATTGGTACAAGATTACGGATTTCAAGTGGAGTTTATAACCTCTCTATATGACGAAAACGTTCACCCCCTGGAAGTAACAGTATATAAATCATAGATCTGTCAACTGAGACTAAACGAACAGAAAGGTCATTAATATTTTACATTTCAAATAGTTTGATATTTAGAGAAATAAAAGATATAGATCTTTAAAAAAAATTAACAATTTTTTTTTTCATTTTTATTGTGTATTAAAACATCCATATGTTTTTTTTTAATTCAAAGGAATCGTTTAAATTTTTGATTTCTAGCATGCATGTGTGCATGATTCAAAGAAAATCAAATATGCTACTCTTCAATGGACTTACGTACAATGTTTGTATACATTGTGCCTATGCAATTATTAATTCATTGATAATATTGATTGTTCTTTAACCAAAAGATTTTAAAAAGCATATTTTTTGACTTACACAATGTGTTCAGTGATGAAACAACGTATATTGACTTACCTTTATACTAACAAAATGTATATTTTCCCAGGTGGAAGTAATACCATTCCAAATAAAATCATATTACGATGTCCCTAATGGAATGCACACGCGCTTGTACTAAGTGCATATTTAAAGTTTAGGGGGTCATTTAAAAACCCTGGTAAACAATTACTCATATAGAAATGTTTGTCGTCATTTAATATTTGTTGACCAATGTATAGTAAGCTCTCGCTAGAGTAAACAAGGGAAGCATATTAAATAAAAAGACTGCTAATAAAAATTTAAATTCCCCCCTGTTTGACTTTTAATATACGGAGTCTGAAACACAAAAATGATTAATTGTTTCCTTGCTGCATTCAGCGGGGGGAAAAATCGAAGACCGTTACTTATTAAATTCCTGCCTGGCCAGGGATTAAATGACAATAATGAAATTGTTACTTGGGTATCCTCTATGTTAGATTACATCGACAGAGGCTGACAAAAGACCCATTAATTTGTTAAATTAAATGGATTCTTTCATTCAAGTCAAGGTGGCTTTAAATCGGTCCGGGGATACAACAGGTTTAATATATAAATGTCAAGTCTTCTAACCCAAACGTTATCGGTATGACGTTTCTGTATACAGTACTACAGATCTAAGGAGATAAGTGCCAATGTGCTTCAGTTTACAGACTCAGATTCAAAGAAATTTTGATTCAGACTTATTCAAATTATTTCGTTTTATTTATTTCATCTTAATTTATTAACCTATTTATGTTGATAAGGGATATTCAAAGTTATTATGTATACAGATTCAGATTCAAAGAAAATTTGCTTTAGATTTATTCATATTATTTCATTTTATTTCATCTTTATTTATTAACGATTTATTTTGATAAGGGATATTCAAAGTTATTCAGTATACAGATTCAGATTCAAAGAAAATTTGCTTTAGATTTATTCAAATTATTTCATTTTTTTTTCATCTTAATTTTATGCCTGTTTATTTTGATACGGGATATTCAAAGTTATTCAGTATACAGATTCAGATTCAAACAAAATTTGCTTCAGATTTATTCAAATTATTTCATTTTATTTCATCTTTATTTATTAACCCATTTATTTTGATAAGGGATATTCAAAGTTATTCATATACAGATTAAAATTCAAAGAAAATTTGCTTTAGATTTATTCAAATTGTTTCATTTAATAATTCATTTCATCTTACTTTACTTACCTGGGGTACATGTATGGGATATTCAAAGCTATTCATCATGCATATTCAAATTTAAAGAAAAATACATTATATTTATTCAAATTATTTCCTATTACGGTATTTATTTCACGACATATCATTAATATACTTATACCTATTTATTTTGATATGGGATTATTTAGGAAATGTGTTCATCCCTGATAATCTTGTCTTTTAAACTTTAGGTATACATGTATACATAACTTTTGGTATTAAATTTAATCTTTACTTTCCTATATCCAGTAATTCATTCTAGAAAGGGGTGAGTTTTGTTTTGTTTGTTTGTTTGTTTTTGAATGACATGAACTGATAGAAAGACTTTTTTTATTATTAGTCCTCATGATGTACAAAATCATGCATATTAAAGACATAATTTAAGTCGGTTCAAAAGAGCTTAATTGCAAGTTGAACGACTGCAATCAATAATACAAAGAAGATAAAAAGATAACAGAACACATTACTGAATGAAATATGTTTATTATCATATAGTGTACCGGTATATTGGTATATTGGCACTTTCAAAAATTTTGACACACTTAACACATATGCATGAATGAACATTTGCTAATAAATCAATGTACATGTATTTTAAACTAGAGGTACTGTGAGCACTTAGCTCACTATCTATGATACCCGGTCTTCCATATGATTATAATGGCAAAGTCCATGTTTATCTCTGTGAGGCCCGAAATATGTGTCAGATCAAAAGTAAAACTTTTGGAACTGTGAACACTGTGTTATTATGAAACCCCCCCCCCCCCTATGATTATAATGGCAAAGTTCATGTTTTGCTCAGAGACACCCGAAATAAGTGTCAAATCAAACAAGAGGCCTAGGGGCCACAGCGCTCACCTGAGCACATCAGCTAGGAAAAAACCCTGATCAGAACTGAAAGTTAATTTAAGTTGGGGGGGGGGTTAATATTTGTTGACCCCCAAGGGGATCATAATTTGAACGAACTAGAATCTACATTACCTAAGGAATTCCATACAAATATTACTTATTCTGGCTTTGAAGTACTTGAAAAGAAGATTTAAAAAGGTTTCCCTATATATTTCTATGTAAAACTTTGGTCGGCCATTTTGGCCATACCCTTACCCCGGGGTCATGACTTGAACAAACTTGAATCTACACTACCTGAGGATAATTTCACATGAGTTTCATCTTTCCTGTTTCAATGGTTCTTGAGAAGAAGATTTTTAAAGATTTTTCCTATATATTCCTATGTAAAACTTTGATCGGCCATTTTGGCCCCGCCCTACACCCGGGAGTCATGACTTGAACAAAATTGAATCTACACTACCTGAGGATAATTTCACATGAGTTTCATTTTTCCTGTTTCAATGGTTCTATATAGAAGAAGATTTTTAAAGATTTTTCCTATATATTCCTATGTAAAACTTTGATCGGCCATTTTGGCCCCGCCCTACCCCCGGGGTCATGACTTGAACAAACTTAAATCTACACTACCTGAGGATGATACCACATGAGTTTCATTTTTCCTGGCCCAGTGGTTCTTGAGAAGAAGATTTTTCCTATATATTCCTATGTAAAACTTTGATCTGCCATATTGGCCCCGCCCTACCCCCGGGGGTATACTTAAAATTCAAACTTGAAAATCTACACTACCTGAGGATGATTCCACATGAGTTTCATCTTTCCTGGCCCAGTGGTTCTTGAGAAGAAGATTTTTAAAGATTTTTCCTATATATTCCTATCTAAAAAATTTGCTTTAGATTTTGGCCCCGCCCTACCCCCGGGGGTCATGATCTTGAACAAACTTGAATCTATCTACCTGAGGATGATTCCACATCAGTTTCATTTTTCCTGGCCGAGTGGTTCTTGAAAAGAAGATTTTTAAAGAATTTTCCTATATATTTCTATGTAAAACTTTGATCGGCCATTTTGGCCCAACCCTACCCCTGGGGTTTGAACAAACTTGAATCTACACTACCTGAAGATTTATTCCACATGAGTTTCATTTTTTCTGGCCCAGTGGTTCTTGAGAAGAAGATTTTTAAAGATTTTTCCTATATATTCCAATGTAAAACTTTGATCGGCCATTTTGGCCCCGCCCTACCCCCGGGGGTCATGATTATAACAAACTTGAATCTACACTACCTGAGGATGATTCCACTTGAGTTTCATCTTTCCTGGCCCAGTGGTTCTTGAGAAGAAGATGTTTATGGATTGTTCCTATAAATTCCTATGTAAAACTTTGATTTAAGTCATTTTGGCCCCGCAAAGTTGACCCCCAGGGGTCATGACTTGAAAAAATTTGAATCTACCCTACCTGAGGATGATTCCACATGAGTTTCATCTTTCCTGGCCCAGTGGTTCTTGAGGAGAAGATTTTTTAAAAATGCCAATAATTTTTCTCTAAATCATGATTATCTCCCCTTGGAAAAGGGCGTGGCCCTTCATTTGAATAAACTTGAATCCCCTTCACCCAAGGATACTTTGTGCCAAGTTTGGTTGAAATTGGCCCAGTGGTTCTTGAGAAGAAGATGAAAATGTGAGAAGTTTACTGTGAACACTAAGCTCATTAGCTGATATTCCTCGCCTCCCATATGATTATAATGGCAAAGTTCATGTTTTGCTCAGAGACACCCGAAATAAGTGTCAAATCAAAAAAGTAAAAAAGGAGGTGCACAATGGCATTGTGTAATAAAAAATCTTTGAAAGTATTATTATATTCATTCAGTGGTATAAGAGGAGTTGCGGATAAGAGATTGGTATCCTTCGATGTAATAGAAAGAATGGCAGTGTCCATGTTTTGCTATGGGAGACCCAAAATATAAGCCCGATTAAGATGTAAAATAAGAGGTTCACAATGACACTATGTTACAAAGATTCTGTGAAAGTCTCATTAAATTTGTTTAGTGGTATAAGAGGAGTTGTGGATAGAAAAAAGGTATACCCCAAAGCATAACAGACGACGGACTGACATCCTGATCACTATATTATACCCTCTCACTTTTCAAGCAAGGGTATAATAAAAAGCAAATAAGAAAAATTAATGTACTAAAATGTATACTTGGTTATACATTAATATTCACAAATTAAATGAAAAGTCCTAGCACAGGATGCATTTGTAATTATCATATTTTTTAAAAACTAAGTATCATTAAATAGGTTTGTTTACTGACTGTATATCTACAGAGATACTAGTATATTGGGTTGAACAATCTCATATGTTATACTTTCATGTAAATTAGTTGAATCTGATTGGTCGAGAAACATTTGCTAAAAAACACTGTTACCCGCTGAATAATGAAGCCACACCCTCCAGCGTAGCAACAGTCAACACTGCTTGACGACGGGTGGTATTACAAAAAATAGCGACTGCGCAGAATTTATGCGCGCACGGTTCACTGTTATAAGTATTTGTATAAAACATTCAGTATAATATAATAAATATTGCATGTAGTTGAGTGTAACATTGAAAATTTACACCCCAAGAAAACCATTGTCAACCGAGGCACAGCCGAGGTTGACAATGGTTTTCTTGGGGTGAAAATTTTCAATGTTACACTCAACTACAGGCAATATTTATATAATATACGTCGAGCATATGTCAAACATAAACGGACAGTTCGTACAAAAGCTATACAAACCCGAAACCATCTAAATACAAAAACTTGCAGTCATATCCAAATAAAATTCTAAAAATATTGTTTTTCTGATCAAAGATGGTCTTTGGCAACAGTCTGTCAACTTTTATGTAGATACTACAATATGTCCTATGCTGTAAAATCACGTATTTTCATGGGGTAAAATTTTCGAGGTTTGAGGGGAAATTGGTTTGTGGGGTCTTGATTTCGTGGTTGGAAAATGTTTAGTAGTAATGCATATGAAAGTATACATTTCGTAGTGGTCAGAAATTCCTGGGTCTCTCCATACCTCTAGAACAACGAATATTACCTACACGAAAACTAGTGATTTCACAGTATTATTTAAT